ACAACAACAACAACAACAACCACAACAAAATCAACACCACAGAAGCAGAAAGAGACATACATAAGGTTTTGCTTTCTGCATTTCACACCGCGGAAAGCATATGGAAAGTTCTCATTCAGCCATAGCACAAAACTCTGTGTCTTCACGCGGTGGTGGCAAGCTGTTTCTGCAGCTCCGCAATGTCCGGTGTCATGGTCGGCACCGGTGTGCAGAGGAACCGCACCAGCTCATCGATCTCGACTCGCCCCTCATCATCAGTGCGCACCTCCGCTAGCAACTGCTTCACCTCATGCTCTGGCATTTTCTCCCCCAGCGACGTCAGCAGCGTGATGAGCTCCGACAGCTTCAGCCGACCCGAGTCACTCGCGTCAAAGGCGCGGAGGGCCGTTCGCAGGTCGTCTTCTGACGGCCCGTTGTATGGCTTCTGCATGAGTGTGACAAAGCTCTGGTACGGCACGGGGTCAGGGATGCCGTGCAGCAGCTCGTTGAACTCCGCCTCTGTGTAGCGGCGGCCCAGGCTGCGGATGATGTGCTTCACATCTGTTTGGCTCACGCTGCCCGTCTTGCGCTCGTCAAATAGGTTCCACGTGTCGGTCCACTCCTTCGGCACCGCCATTGCTCTCTCGGGGGCGAGATTGGGTTCTTGGCTTGTCTCGTGCGGATGTGTGCGTGTGTTAGGCACTAGCTCTGCTGCTGATTGAGGCGAAGAGAGAAAGACACCGAGAAGCAAACAAACAAAAAGAAAAAAAAAATAATGTGCGCTGAAGTCATCCGCGGTTTGAGGCACAATAGACACAGACACGCAAACACCCACACCCACACCCACACACACAGCGGTAAACAAAAACAACAACAACAGGAGTCATGAAGTCTAGACTGACTTCCCTCATCTAGTCTATGGAGAAGGTGTGGCTTTGTTTTCGGTTTGACTCGTTTTTTTTTGTTTTATTGGTTCACCCATCTGTTCGTCTGTATTCATACAATCTTCTGGGGCATCTCCCTTTCCTTCCTTCTAGCCGCGACAGCGCTCATCTCTGCGGCGAAAATAAAAAAATGTCTGATGAGTCGCGAGATGTTTTTTTTTTGTTAGTCGTGCCCCCGTAAGAACACAACGAAAGAGAATTACACACACACACA